CCTCTCTGTGCTCTAAGCTTGAGCTGACAGTGTCACATCCGTACTGCGCGGTGCGGAAAAACAGATCAGGACTAGAGAACGTTCCTTGCCAGAGAGCAGCGAAACGGTTCTCCAGCTGGGGGTGGGTGGAGCACTCCCCGGGCAGGGAGAAGGCGGGGATCCGTCCACACAGATGTGAGGGGCCTCCCGTCGAGAACTGTGACGCGGCCCCCACCCACAGTGGTGAGAGCACCCCCGTCTTGCTGGCGGAAGCCGCCCCACGATCTCGCACGCCGGTGTCCCCTGCGTGGGGCTTTTGCAGAAGTAATATTCACTGGACTTTTTCTTTCTGACTTTAAAAAGTATTCTTGGCGGGCGGTGCTCATGCCTGTAATCCTAGCACTCTGGGAGGCCGAGGCGGGAGGATTGCTCGAGGTCAGGAGTTCAATATCAGCCTGAGCAAGAGCGAGACCCTGTCTCTACTAGAAATAGAAAGAAATTATTGGCAATCGAAAAAAGCCAAAAACAAAAGAAAAAAAAAAAAAAAAAAAAAAAAAAAAAAAAAGAAACGAAACAAAACAAAACGAAAAACAAAAGAAAAAAAAAAAAAAAAAAAAAAAAAAAGACAAAAAAACGAAAAAAAAAAAAAAAGATAAAAAAAAAAAAAAGAAAAAAAAAAAAAAAATAAAAAAAAACAAAAAAAATATAAAAACTAATATATATAGAAAATAATTAGCCGGGGCATGGAGGCACAGCCTGTAGTCCCAGCTACTTGGGAGGCTGAGGCAGCAGGATCGCTTGAGCCCAGGAGTTTGAGGTTGCTGTGAGCTAGGCTGACGCCATGGCACTCACTCTAGCCTGGGCAACAAAGTGAGATTCTGTCTCAAAAAAAAAAGTATTCTTGGCCCTTGCAAATAATTCAGGAAGGCAACAACGACAAAGATGTACAGAGACAAAACCAGGCCCCGAGTCTCCCAGTACCGGCAGCAGTTTGACGTCTTTCCTTCCAGTCGTTTTTCTGCACGTGGAGGAGGCTGAAGCTGCTTCCACATTCTCACTCAATGCGTTCCAGAGTCAGTGGGCAATTCCTCACGTGCGTCGTGCTCGGTGGCTGTGCCATGCCCCGCCACACGGCTGCACCGGGACATGTTTGGCCGTCGCTTTGACGCCTGCTGACTCACTTCCAGTTTTCCACAATTACGAGCAGTTGGAATGTGCTCTTAGATCCGACTTCCTGGCTTGTTTTTCTTGGGACGTGCACGCACAAGGGAAATGGAAGAGTCAGTGCTACGAATGTTTAAGGCTTGCCTAAAGGTCAGGATGATTCTACTCCAACACCACCACTGAGTTTTGCCCTATTAAAAAGCCTGGCAATCTGATACCTAGAAACCAACAGCATCTCCTTTTAATTTGCACCTCTTTGATGAATGGGGTTGAGTGTCTTTCTGAGTGCATTTGAAGTCTTGCTTCTGGAATGGTCTGTGGATTCATACGCCTGTAACACCCGTCTGGGGCGCTGAAAACAGCGTTTTAGAGACATTAGACCCTCCACATAGGCGGATTCAACCACCCGCAAATCAAAAATATTTTTTAAAAAACAATCATATTGGCCATGCACGGTGGCCACGCCTGTAATCCTACACTCTTGGAGGCCGAGGCGGGCGGATTGCTCAAGGTCAGGTGTTCAAAACCAGCCTGACAAGAGCGAGACCCGTTTCTACTAAAAATAGAAAGAAATTAATTGGCCAGCTAAAAATAAATAGAAAAAATTAGCCGGGCATGGTGGCGCATGCCTTAGTCCAGCTACTCGGAGGCGGAGGCAGGAGGATCGCTGAGCCCAGGAGTGGAGGTTGCTGTGAGCTAGGCTGACCACCAGGCACTCTACCTATGGAACAGAGTGAGACTCTGTCTCAAAAGAATAAAAAAAAAACAAATGTAAAACAATACAGTGTAACAACTATTGACATATGTTTACATTTAATCGGGTACTGTAAGAAATGCAGAGATGACTTGCAGCTTAAGGGAGATGTGCCCAGGCTACATGCAAATCCTGTGACATTTTACACAAGAACTTGGGCAGCCACGGGCTTTGTATCTGGGTGGGGATGGTCCTGGAACCAATGTCCTGCGGGTGTCAAGGGACGATTGTGTTGTTTGTGTGACTATGAACTCAGTCTGGGCCTGGCAAGTTGTGACTTGAACCAGTGGAATGCGCATTACGAAGCTTTCCGTATTTAATAACAGAGCTATGGAAGAGCAAAACGATAAAGTCTGTGTGTGGTGCCATCGACGTGCTGGCCTCAGGATGTCATCGTTGTTTCTTCCCGCAGGTATCAGTGCCGGCGGGCTGCCTGCGGAACAAGGCTAAGATTTTCGGACTCTGTTTTACGGAGAGCGTGAGATAGGCCGGCATTCCCTCAGCCTAGGTTTCGAAGGAGGGCTGGTGGTTTTGCGGGATGAGATTTTCTCCCCACTCCTTAGCCAAACCGGGCACGCCCGAACTGACCCGGGGTGCATTCTGGGCTCACAGACACGCGGAGCCACTTTGGGAACTGAGCTGATCCCGGAGGCCGGTCCCCGCGCTGGGCGTCCGCATGCTCCACTGGAGGGGGAGAAAGGGCCGTTTGTCGCTGCCTCTCAGTTCGTAAAGCGACTGGGATGGGTTTTGAAGATAAGCGGCCCGGGAACAAAGACACGGTTATAGGCAGACGGGACTTCCGAGGTTGGGGAAGTCCGCCCGTCCTTTTGGCTCGTAGTGGTTGAGGACGAACATGGGCGCTTCTGACAAAGGCTGAGTCACAAGCCGCGTGTGCTCTCCCCTCCCCCAGTCCTCCAGCATCTGCCGGGCCGCCATTCACCACGGGTCCTCGATGACCAGGGGGCCTGGTGGACCGTCACCAGGAATGGGAAGGTGCCTTCTTGTGAAGATCCGAGAGAAACGGCCTGGAGTCTTTGAGGTAACCGTCCTGCGGTCCGGTTCCTTACAGTGTTTTTCCCGGTGACGAAAGTGCCGCTGAACCTTTAGAAAGTGTTGAACAATATGAAGGCGCAGAAAAAAGTAAAGACAACTTGGATCCCGTAACTCAGAAATCGCCCCGTAGGCAGCGTAGCAGCACATCTCATTCCGGCGGGACCTTCCTGGGTGTGTGTTGAACTTGGCGATTTTTTGAATCCTCCTTTTTCTACCTTTGTGAGTCAACGAGAACGCTTCAGCTGATGGTGTCCTGGAATGTGTGGGCTCATTCTTTTTGTGAGACAGAGTCTCACTCTGTTGCCCAGGCTAGAGTGAGTGCCATGGGTCAGCCTAGCTCAACAGCAACCTCAGACTCCTGGGTTCAAGCGATCCTCCTGCCTCAGCCTCCCGAGTAGCTGGGACTACAGGCATGCGCCACCATGCCCGGCTCATTTTTTCTATATATATCAGTTGGCCAATTAATTTCTTTCTATTTATAGTAGAGATGGGGCCTCGCTCTTGCTCAGGCTGGTTTTGAACTCCTGACCTCGAGCAATCCGCCCACCTTGGCCTCCCAGAGTGCTAGGATTACAGGCTTGAGCCACCTCGCCTGGCCTAAGCTAGTTCTTGATTAGCGATTTTTCCATTCCCTAGAGAGTGAGGTTTTTCAGTTTTTTTAATGTACTTACTTTCCCCCCAAGGTAATGTTTGTCACCGAGGGTGGACAGATGGTGGGTGGGTCCTTCTTGATGTGGGACTTCCTGGGTAGCGGTGGGGGAGGCATGACTGGCTGCTCCCACCTGATCTGCCTGTGGAACCCAGTGGGGACAATAGGGGTCAGACAGACCCGGTTCCTCCTCTTCCCCCGTGTGATTCAGGCCAGTGTCTTCACCTCTTCTGAGTGGCAGTGTCCTCATTTGCAGTGAGGGTCATCTGCAGCACCGTTAAAACTCGTGCCTGTTGGAGACCTCTTGTGCCCCTCCCTGCAGCCCCCGCCTTGCGCATCTCTGGAGCTTTGAACATTGCTCCCGGGACACACATGTGCAGGGGAGATTCGGGGACTCCCCCGTGCCCGATGCCCACCCCGGGGTCTATGACAAGGAAAGCTTTGAACAAAGCCTCCTGCGATGGGTACAAGGTAGCGCATCCCGTCCAACTGTGAGGCTACTTGGAAAATTTTCGAAAACAAGAAGAGTCGTTGCACTTTGACACATCTTGCTCTTCGGGCGAGGTTGGGATATCCCTCTTCTGCTGCCTTAGCGAGGGACTTGGCGTGAGGGGTTAGGCAGAGCAAAGAGCAGGGAAGTCCATGCACGCAGATACCGGTTGGGTAACTTCAGCACCGCGGCGGGGAGGCCCTGCGCAGGCCACTGGGAGCTCGGTGAAGGCTCCACTCCTGCATCCCGGCCATGCTTGTCCTGGAGGCCCTCTGGGTCCCTAACAACGGCCCACTTTGCACCCAGAACAGGGCATCTGCACGTTTTGGAATTCAGGGGTCTGCCGACATTAATGCAGAGCAATTTACGACTTTATTCTCACCAATCTCTAATTGAAAGGTAGTATTTCCTTCCCTTGTGAATGTTGGCCATGAACCAGGCTAGCATTCGCAGGGCCGGCGACTTTCTCGCTGGAAGAATCCAGTTGCTGCAAACATCCTGAAACCCCGTCCCTGGTGCGTTTCCCCTGAAATGACAGCAGTTAGAAGACCCGCCTCTAAAATCTGCTATTCGGTGCATTGATAAAGGAAGCCAGCTTTAATGCAAATCTGCTTTAACACTTTGATAATGATATTAATAGTAACTGTTTCCTTTGTGATGTTTTAAATCCATCTTAGGCGTTTTTAAAACCATTATTCTGAGAAGGGGTCCGTAGGCTTCACCAGGCTGCCAGAGGAGTCCTTGGTACAAAAAAGGTTAAGGTTTGCTCTAGAATATTCTGAGAACTTTCAGGCTGATGGGAAACAAGTGGGAAAGTGTGAAGTTGAAGCTGTAAATAAGATAAGTACCAGAGCAAGGGTGTGCTTTCAGAAGCAATTCTGTTTGCACTTACCTAATGTTTTCTTTTACAGCAAATACAAACCTTCTGGCTCATTCACGGTATCAAAGGTGAAAGGTAAGCTGGCACCTCTTATGTGACCATAATACCCAGGTTATCTTGGATGTCCCTCAAAATTTCACTTCCCTTAGTTGTTGTTTTCATGTTAACATACATGGCTGCTCTCAGCGTTTGCAGAGGCTTTTTCGAGAGGGCCCTGAGGAGGTCATTTCGCTAACTAGTTTCTAAACATCTCTGGACTTGAAACTGGCCCCAGATTGCTGAGTCTGAAGCACAGGGCTGAGCTTGCCAGCTGAATGCCACAGAAATACCGACAGCTGGGGTTGGGGTGGCCGAGTTTTCCCAGGGAGTTTCTATCAATTAATAGTGGCTTCCTGGAGCTTGATTGATTAGTAATGTCTGCCGTGGACACAGGAGGGAGAGTTTGGGAAGTGCATGATGCATCTTCGCCCCCTCCGACCCAGCTTCTTACATGGCTCAGGGTGTGTTCCTTTGGCAGGCCGGGAGGTGGGCATGGGAGGGCGTGCTCCCACCAGAGGTGGATGGATGGGTTACAGTCGCCCAAACCCGGCCTTTGACCCCAGTGATGTCGGGCAGGCTGGGATGCGGGAGCACCATGCAGGGTCTTCCCCGGGAACGTTGCCGCTAACCCCGCCTTTCCTCTGGGAAAGCAACTATTGTCATTTGCCCTGGATGCAAGAACATCTCATTAGATATCTTTACAAAAAGGTACAGAGGTGCCTTTTTCTTATTACGAAAAGAATGCCTGATTATTCCAGATAATTTAAAAATATCTTGGGAGGAACAAGTTTTAAAAAATGACTTGACCTAAATTCTGCTAGTTAGAGATAACCACTGCGAACATTCCAGTTTATTCGCTCTATGTCTTAAAAGTATAAACATTGGTAATATATATATTTTGATAGCTTTTAAAATGTGAGATGGAATCACATACAATTTTTTGCCTCCATAATTATGTGCCAGGAATATATTTTCTGTGCCTTTAAATGTTCTTCTAAACCCAATTTTAGTGATCTCCCCGTCATCTCCTTGCACAGAAGTCTCTGAGGTACCAACCCAATCCCCTTTGTTGGACAGCTGCATAGACCCATTTTACAGGCACGTGGCCTGAGGTCCAGGCTTGCGGGGGGCCCTGACCCTCTCCCTCTGCGTTCCCGTTCACAGTGCAGGACTTGGACTGCTACACCACCGTCGCTCAGCTCTGCCCATTTGAAAAGCCGGCGGTCCACTGCCCAAGGTGAGGCTCGAGGAGGGGGCAGGAAACAGCTGCCAAAGTGGCAGGGCGGGCTCGGGGTGGGGTTGGGGTCTCTCCTTTCCAGGGGCAGGGGCATCACCTTCTCACGAGATGTCCCTGGCGTCTGGTTTCGCCTATGCTGGTGCTGAGTGAAGAAGGGACCGGGCCGGGTTGCACCCGGAACTCAATCACTGTGCGCTCAAAGGCTGGGACTGCTAGACCCTTACCTGCTAGCCCTCAATCTGGGCTGTGTGTTGGAATCTCTGGGCAAAGGCATTAAAAAAAAATTCCCAGGGCCCTGCCCAGACCGCGGAAGGCCTCGCCGGTGACCCCTGCATGTGTCACGGTCCCAGAACCCTGCTCCGTTCTGGAAGCTGAGGGGTCCTTTATCTGCTTTAGAGCAGCCTGTCGTTTCCTGGGCTCCGTCTATCTCATGCCTTCTATGGGTCACGTGAGAAGGAGCTTTCTCAGAATTGGCTTCATTGACATCCACGATGCGTTCCGTGCTACATAAGAACACAATTCGATCGTGTATTCGAGCAAACATGACGGTGGAGCTGCCACCACCACCCCATCAAGACGAGGGACGTCCCCTCACCCCAGAGAGGGCCTCGGGGGTGTTGGTCCCCCCACACCCCTGTCGCCACGGGGCTCCTCTCTGTTGCCATGGTTCTGCCTGGTCAGCCGCCACCGAGGGTGGATTTTTGTGTCTGGCTTCCGTCAGTCCGCGCCGTGCTGTGGAGACGCATCCGTGCTGTTGAGCGTGTTCACGGTTTCTTCTTCTTTTTTTCTCTTGAGACAGAGTCTCACCTCTGTCGCCCGGGCTAGTGTGCCCTGGCGTCAGCCTAGCTCACAGCAACCTCAAAATCCTAGGTTTAGGTGATCCTCCTGCCTCAGCCTCCCGAGTAGCTGGGACTACAGGCACGCGCCACCATGCCCCGCTAATTTTTTTCTATTTTTAGTTCTTGGGTAATTTCTTTCTATTTTTAGTAAGAGACAGGGTCTTGCTCTTGCTC